GGGTCTGGCATCCTTGGGACCTGACTGGTTCCGAACAAGGGAATTTCCCAAACCAAGGGAGTACTCCTGGCCAACCCCCTTCCCACTCCTCCCACACCCTGCAACTGGGCTCCTGGCCCTGGGTCTCTCTGGTCTGGCAACATCCGTCATCCTGCTACATCACAGAGTCCAGTTTAGGGAGGTACAACCTATATTTACTTAAAGTGGAAAAGTCAGTATTAAGGCATTATGATAAATATTATTACTGGTTTTTATGCTTCCGCAGTCTGTAGAAATACGGGTTTGGAAAATGTATAGTTAGGTTTAGCTGTTGTGTGCAGGATCAGAGTAAGACTATAGCTTTATGGATTTTTATGGTCGTATAGAGCCTGGAAAATCACTGGAAACAGGAAATCTCACTATATACAGAGTAATATTTAATCAGAGGCACAGAGTAAACAAATTGAACACTTAGATTGTTTCTCTCATTTGCAGTTATAGTAACTGTAGTATTCATCTACTGTAGTATTTTTCTAAAAACTTCCCACCATACCACTCCCCCTGGTGCTCCCTCATAGAAGCAACAATAGGAGACCTAGTATCAATAGGCCCCTAGTAACACCTGATGTGTTAACCTCCATGCCAAGATCTGTTCTCAACAGATTAGAGTGGTTGAAATGCCAGTGTCTAATCTACACTGGTGCACCAATGTGGCTATGAGAAGTGGAGCTGAATGGGTGGTAGTATAATTGTCATCTTACTGTATGTGCAACTTGCCTCAGGTGGCACGTGACCAGGTTTCATTACTGAGTTTGATCCACTGGTTGGATCATTAGCTTGCACGCACCAAGTACTGACAGTGATTGAAATGTGAACACTTATCCCTGGCTCTGGAAAAACGGGTAGATAATTGTCAGTGTCCTTTTATTTAGTGATGTTGAATAGTGTTTAATTTAATTTTAATTTACCACTATCTGAGGTAAATAGGATGAAGTTTAATAAGGACAAATGCAAAGTATTTCACTTAGGAAGGAACAATCAGGTTAACACATACAGAATGGGAAGTGATTGTCTAGGCAGGAGAACTGAATCTGGCTGCATGCCCACCTGGTCCCTAACACACTTAAAATGGAGAGCTGCAGCAGGTGTAGGTCCCAGACCTGGGGTGAGCCAGGTCTGAGCCAGGCTGCGAGCCAGCCTGCTAAAAAAAATATTACTAGCAAGTGTGGGGGGAATATATGTAGTCTATAGCATTAATCTATAAGCTTTTGCTAATTGGCTAATCGGCTATACTATTACATCTCAAGTGTAGACACATAGGCTGGGATCCACAAAGAAACTTAGGTGGTGGTGTGATGGAGAGAGTCACAGCACTTAACTTTGAGACACCCAGAAAATCACAAGAACAGCACTGCAACATGTGTTACTTAATTTGAGCACCTGAGCCCCTGATACAGTGCGTGAGAAGGATGGGTGTCTCTAAGAATACAATCTGCAAGAGCCAGTGTACTTGGTGGGGAGGCACCTGCGCTAGCCAGTGTGCAATCTGAAAGAGACTCGTCCTCTGCCGCACTCATAAAAGTGTGGGCTGTTGCAGGGGGCACCTGAAATCAGGTGGCTTAGGTGCCTTTGTTATTTCTTATGAGAAGGAATTAAATGCCTGCCTCGTGCCACATAAAATAGCTGGAGGGAAGATATGGTGCCAGCTTCATAACTTTCAGCCCAGTCATTTACAGCATTCAGTTAGTATGTGGGAAACCTGGGTTCAGATGTTCCGCCTGCCCTACCCTCTCAGAAAAGGGCTTTAACCACTGAGTTATGGGATAGCCTGATGTGGGGCCCTGTTGGAGCTGTTTCACTATGGATGAGTGTTTGGTATAATTTCCGCAGGAAAACGCAATACAGCAAGAACTTGCCATCCACAGTTTCGCTGTTTGCAGTTTCACCTATTCGCAGTACGCCGCACCACACTGGCACAAGCACATGATGCAATGTGCTGACACTTTCTTGGTGTCTTCCAGTTTAAAAAAAAAAAGATTGCTGAAGTAACACCAAACCTTAATTATGGCACCAAAAAGAAAAGCGATGCAGACAGTGGTCAAGAGGCAAACGGAAAAGAAAACAGGTGATGACTTTAAGACAGAAAGTTGAATTATTGGATAAGCTTGCAAGTAGTCGTAGTGCGGCCTCAGCTAAAATGTACGGCATTAATGAGTCTACTGTGCATTACATTTTTCTGCCTAATATAAGGAATAGTGTTGCTGCAAATATGCCAGCTTGTGCAAAAGTATCATGTGAGAGTTGTGATCCTGTAATTGGAAAAAGTGGAAGAAATTAAGCATTTAGATTGAAGTCATGGCACAGAAATGAGCACCTGTGAATGGTGCTGTAATTTGAAAAAAGGCTTTGAGCTTGTGGAAGCATTTTGCACAAGCATCAGGTGGTGAGGAGGCAAGTCATGACAGTGCAGTGTCATTCACCGCACGCATGGAGTGGTTTCACAAATTGTTAAAAAGGCACAGTTTCCATAATGTGAAGTTAATGGGGAAGTCAGCATCAGCAGACCATAAAGCAGCACAGGATTGATTATCCCTCTCAGCTTCTCATCACAATCTTCCTTGGGGAACCCATCTCTAGTAATCCCCCCCCCCCCATCCCAGAGGAACAGTAACATTTGCAGGTAGCAAGTGCAAAGAACTGTTTTGGGTGAAGTTGTTGACTATACAGTATTATCTTTGTGTTTGAGTTTGGTTGCTTTGAAATTAAAGTTATTTGTGAAAGAGCAGGCAATTCGAGAGGAGTTGTTATAGAAAGATTCTGAGAATAGGATGGATGTAGAAGGTCACCAACAAGGAATTATATAGGAAGATTCAGCTGAAAGAGAACCTACTGCAGAAGGTTATACAACGGAAGTTACAGCTATTCAGGCATATCTGCAGAATTAATGATGAGCAAAAAGTTAAGACCTTGGTATTCGGCATAATGGATGGTCCAACTAGGAGAGGCAGACCCCATAGAGAATGGGGAGATTGGTGCAAAGCTAGTCTACAGAAACTAAGCCACTCCTCACTGGACAGGAAAGATGGAAGGAAATAGCGAGGGAGGCATTGGACACTGATGAGCATTGAGCCCATGGTTGATGATGATGATGAGGATGAGGCAGTAAAACTCGAGTCATGAACAACCCCGCCCCCTTATATTTACGGCCTCTCTCATGTGTGTGTGCTCATGGCCAGTTACGCTGAACAAAAGGAAGGAGCCAGAATTCTGTCTGTTGTAATTTAATACTCTGAAATTGTCTTCACAGGACAAACACAAAGCTTAATGGCTACATGCCCCAATTTTATAGTAGTAAGTCGGTAACTTTAATCTATGGATTTTGCAGTGTCATGCTGGAGTCATCTAATTGTTAATTGATGTTTACCTGAAGGTTGCTTCCATTGTCATGCTCCATCAGTGTTTTGATGAATATCCTGGGAGTGACTGCAACTGGTTTATCTCGTTCACAGATCTCGTTCTAAAGTGTATGCCTTTGCTTTAGGGTAGTCAATTCTGCCCCTCTTCGGCCATCCTGATTTTGACTGATGCCTGAGTTCACATCTCCTTGTTAGCCATTCTGACCATCTGGTGCTGTGACTTCTGTCTCTTATCTTCAAACATTCCTCACTTGCACAAAAGATCTCTCTTACAAAGGAACAGGCAAGATTTCTTACAGACTTACAAAGTTGAAATACAATTTATTCTATATATCAGTTTTTTACTAATTTATAGTACCTAATTCAAAATACATTTTAATACCTAGCAGCTGCTGTAGAACAAAGCGTAAGAAACAAAATCTATATAACTACATGAAACAAGGTTATAAAACAAAGTCTATAAAACTGTAAGGCTTACAACACTACAGAGTTAGCCAGTTAGGTCAATGTGAGACAGCTGACATTGGCCTAATTAGATCTGTGTCTATACTACAGCCTTGCTCCTGCCAATGTGTAAGTGCCCTACTACACTAACATAGCTCCATCTCAGCAAGAGGGAATTACTGCCGTAGCTGTAGATTGACTTAATATAAGTCAACATAAGTTTGTAGTGCAGCCATGCCATTGGATTTTAGGCCAGAGAGAGAATGACTGTATCTTGATGGTTTGGGCAGGTACTTAAGAAGTGGGGGCTCTCTGCTCCAGTTAAACTTTAGATAAACAAAATAGAACAGCTTCCTTAGGAGAGCTTGAGGGAGACCCATGTAACAATTACTCATTGCTCAGTGATTAGCACGCTCTCTTGAAAGGTGGGAGACCACTGTTTAAATACTTTTTCTCCCTCAGGCAGAGGGGGAAGCTGAACCTGACTGTCCCATAAGCCTAGTGGGCAGCACTATTGCTTCTTTCTTCTCCACTTCCAGTGCAACCCAGTACATTAGGCAATCTCTGAGCATATCTACTAAATCAAGCACTACAGGAAAGACAGGAGGATAAATGCCTGTCTTCCCATGAGTTGTAAATTGCTGTGGGGCTAGGCTTAGTCAGGGGATAGGCACCTGGATGCCTAGTGTGAGGCAGCTGTGCAACTGCCCAGAGGCAGAAAGTTAGATGCCTATGTAGCTTTGACTGCAAAAACTTTTCTTAGGGGGTCCATGTGGTTAGGCAGCTGCTAAGTGGGAGTTTTTGTGTATCACAGTGGAACTTAAAACTACCTTAGGTGCCCAAATCTGAGGGGTTAAGGTGCTCAAGTACCATCTGAGAGTCTGTAAAGAGCAGCTTAAATAGATTTCTTACAAACTATAGCTAATCTGAAATAACTCACTTTTAAGCAGAAAAAGGAATGTCTGTCTGCAAAGATTTAAACAGTAATGCAGTTAAATTGTTGCAGCTGTCTCATGTAGACAAGCTGTTAGCTTTCAGTTCTGTTTCAGTGTGGCACCATGGTACAGTTTCACCAAAGTCATCGAGCTGATCCAAAATGTTCACATTTTACAGTATTTTTTAAATGCTCTATCTTCAGCTTTCATTTTTCTCCTACTGTAGTGGGACATATCACTCCAGAGATGAGAGCACAGACAGCGGCCTCAGCATGAGCAGTTACAGTGTACCCAGAACCCCTGATGACTTCCTGAACAGCGTTGATGAAATGGATACAGGTTTGTTTTTCTTTACACCCATAATGAATTTCCCCCCTTACACCTCCAAAAATATTTGTCTTTCTTGCCTGCTCAATCATTAGTACACAAGAAAGAACGTGAAGTTCAGGAAAGCTGAGAGGTTCTTCACAGCATTATCTTCTGGATCAGAAATATTACATTTTTTTCCATATCTTGTCTCTTACGATTTAAAAGATGTGCAATATTTTTTACAAACAATTTTGAAACAGTTAGTCAAAGGCTTTTCCTAAATAGTACTAATGTCCTGAGATTATGTAGGAACTGAGTGTGCATTTGCTTTCTGAATAATACGATTGTGTGTCCTAAGCTAAGGACAAATACTCATATTTGAGAATTACTGTGCACAGTTGTGTAATGTCCTTCCAGTTATTACAAGATGCAGTCGATTTTCTTGAATGAAGTATAAGAATACTGTACTGTACAGCAAATACTGTAATGCTACGTGCATGATAACATTCAGGCGCTGGGACTGTAAACAGTGTGCATTGAAGGTTAAATCCTTTTGATTTATATAATTAATCAGATGGCCCTTAATGGGATCAATTGCATGAGTAAAGCAACCTGGAATTAAGTCCTTACTTTGTTACCTTAATCAGGTTTATTGTTTTGATACTTTTAGTGTGTTTAACATCTGTTTGCTTTGTGTTAAACCAGGTGATATCAGCCAAAGTAACATACCTTCCCATCAGAACCGTTTCCCAGATTACCTTGAAGCCATTCCAGGGACAAATGTGGACCTTGGGACACTGGAAGGAGATGGGATGAATATAGAAGGAGAGGAACTGATGCCAAGTCTGCAGGAGGCTTTGAGTTCTGACATCCTTAATGACATGGAATCTGTGTTGGCAGCCACCAAACTAGATAAAGAGAGTTTTCTTACTTGGTTATAGAGGCCTCAGGGAGACTGCATTGTAAATCTGTGAAGGATCTAATGAGATAAGACATCTGTGCCTGAAGTCCAAAACAAGCCCATGAGGCATACTTCTGGTTTGTGGTCTGAAAAAGTAAATGAACAAATATTCAACAAGATTCTTTCATCCAACGTTTTGGCTCTTCCTTGTCCATCGCTGCTGTTATAGATTGCTGACCTCTCTTACAGTTAACTTTGAAGACCAGACATCTTTGTGATCTTCTCTATTGCTGTTTCAACTACTGTTCAGTTGGGGGAGAGAGCGAATGATGAGCCTGTTTGGATGATGAATTCCATTCCTTTTGTATTAATATGAGCTTGCATATCTTTTTATCTAAGAACTCGGATTTGAGTTAACATGTGTATGTCACCACTTGTAATATGCTCAGCTAGTTGTTTCCTCTGATACCTATAGCAAGAGGTAAAACACACCATACTGGTTTGAAACCCTCCCCCATAAATGTGTCTGGTCAAAAGAAGTCAATACTGATTTGCAGATATAGCTCAAAAGAGGACTGAAGACTGTTTGACATTAAGTGTTTTTAACTCTTTTTGTTAGGAAATAGTGTGTTCATATTTTATGGTATAGTAAATCATGAGTCATTTTATATAGAAACTTATATCAACTTTGATTTTTTTACCACATACTCTAGGCTACTTTCTGTCAGTCAAAAACTAGAGGGGGGTTTTGTTTTGTTTTTGTTTTGTTAGTGAATTTAATTATAGTTGTAGGTTGGGAAGTAATTGTAGGTGTTTTTTTTTTAATAGTGAAATCTAAATATTCTGATTTCACCTAGTCTTATTTAAGTCTCAATTGTTTTTTTATATATCAAAAATGTCTATTTTAGCTAAATAGCTAGTGAGTACATATGGTTTTATGTTTTTCCCATAACTTTTATTTTTAAGGCTAGCTTTGAATGTAATCATTACAATAAATGTTCAGTGGCTTATTTTTCATGTCTGCTTGCAAGAATTTGAACTACAATCTAGTTGTAGCACTCTGAGAATGAAGTGTCATAGCTGAGCTTGAGAAAGAAGTGTCATATCTGAGCTTTTATAGTGCCTTTAAAAGTAGCGGAAACCATACACTACATGTTTTAATTGACTGTTACAGGTAATTTCTTGGAGTTAGGTTTTAGTTTTGATTAAATCAGTGAGTTTAGATTTTGAAGTCTATGCAGGGGGGCAACTTAATGAAGAATCTTCCATTAATTTGCATGGAAAAATCATCTAAATTGTCATCTCACTTTCTACTGTAATGAAACTGCTAAAACAAAAACTTCAAAGCTTTCTAAGACTTTCCTAAACAAAATAAGTATTTGGTTTGGTGTAGTGCAAAATAAGCCCTGGACACTATGGGTAGAGGACTGTAAAGATATGTGTTAGATAGAGACATGAGCAGGTAATGACGTGTATATTAGAAGTAGAGTTTAGTGCAGGGGTAGAGGTGAATATGATTTACTTATATTTTAACAGGAAAAAGATATAACACTAAATCATCTGCAGGAATTGATAGTTTCCAAAGAGTATTTTTAAATGAACAAAATGAGCATGAATCAAACTTTCAGTATAAGCTATGAAGTAATTTTTTGATAAAAATAGTGCACCAGTTAGAACCTCTGTAATTAAGGGTTTGAGAGTTTGTCAGCATTCACATAAACCTTTGGGGGAAAAAAGGACTTATAACTTGACCTTGAAAAGACTTTGTTTGAAACTTGGTATGAAAAGTATCAGCCTGGAAGGATTTTTTTTTAAATAAATTGTTTTAAAGGGCTTAGTAATTTTTTAAAATATAGGAATAAATTATAAAACCCATAAAAGAATGGACTGAGTTGTCTTTCAGTGGCTGTTTTACAATAATAGGTAGACTGTTAATCTAGAAGCATTCCTTGGTTCTGAAGTTTTAAAATTTGCTTTGCAATTAAAGCAACAGAAATTTATATGTAAAAAATTGCTACTAACTATGCACCTTTATTGTTTCTCATAAGGATTTTAATACTCTGAACTTACAAAAGTATATATGTGGATTGTTTCAGAGTATGATTTTAAAAATGCTGATTACCACTGAGGAATTTTAACAGCAATTATATTCTACTACACTAGTTACATTCTGCTCCACAGATTAGTAGGCCACTTAACATGTTCAATGACAAAAGCCCTTGAAGCAGTAAATTATGTCAATCATAAGGATTATAGGAGCATTTCACACTCCAGTTAAGAGTTCTCTTTCCATCCACCACGTTAATAAAGATATTTCAAAAGACACTACATTGTTTGAATGATCTGACATAAAACTACATAAGCAAGGCAATTCAGCTTTGGATCAGTTTTTGCCCTTGTTTTTGTGTTTCTCATAGCTTTAATGTTTTCTTGTCATTGTAAAAAAAAACTCTAAATAGCGTATACTGTTTGGGTAGCACTGTTGGGGTAGGTACTGACGAACTGGGAATTCTTGAATTGCTCTGAGTGTAACCCTGTTCTATGATACTTTAATCAACTTTAAGAAGTTTTCATTTTCTTCCATTTGTTAGGGAATGTACCTAAGATGCTGTACTGTTGACAATTGAAACTGATTTGGATTTTATTCTGCAAAAGCGGAAGTGAAGACGTGGTTAAAATTTGTTTGAAATACAAGTGTGTTTTTGGCTAGTATTTTATACTGATGATGTATATATTTAAACAGCAAAAATCATTGTCCTAATGTGTTAGCTTCTAGATTTTAGTACACTGTGCTCATAATTCAGAGGAGGCATATTAACTCTACTGTGCTATAGCAGTACCTTGGCCCACAAATGCTTTGGAATAGGCTACAGTGTCAGTAAACAACATGGATAAAAAATTGTACCAATCAGTGTTGAAACTGAGGTAATGCAATAGAAGAAGAGACAATTTCAATATGAAAAACACTTTACATAGCTTTTGCACATCTGGTGAATTAGTACTAAAGTGACTTTTCACTTGCAAGCATGGTTTTTATACAAATAGCCAGTGTGCCTGTCTAAATAATTACTTGTTTTTCTGTATCTTGAAAAAGTATTCTCCACATTTTAAATGTTTTATATTAGAGAACTCTTGAATTCACTCTTGTCAAAAATATATATATATAGTTATCAATGTTACTTTTTAGATGTAAGAGCATGCCTGTATGTTAGGTACCTAAGTAAATTCTGTTACATTATTTTTCTTTATGTACTACTTTTTCAGTTGTTTTATGTGATATAAATATATGCTTTGTGTTTAATAACATCTTGGTTGTTTTTAAACTTAATCATAGATAAAGGTATTTATTTGCCTTAAATCAGGCAAACACATTGGAATTTTTTTCTTACATTCCATTTTGTCTGTTCTCCTAATCCCCATATAATGTGTATTGTAATTGTAGACTCCAGTCCAGCAAACACTTATGCACAAGCTTAATTTTAACCTGTGAATAGTCTATTGAAGTCAGTAAGATTATTAGTGCTATAAAATTGAACATGTGCCCAAATGTACAAAATGGGGGGGGGCGGGAGTGGGAAGAGGGGTGTTCAAAACTAGCATCAAACAATATGTTAATAGAGAAAATGGCCTTCTATATTTGATACTGACCTCCAGTGTGCTGGGAATTTTTCCCCTGAATTTTAGATATTCTAAATTTTTCCTGCATAGTGGCTACGTCTAGACTGGCATGATTTTCTGCAAATGCTTTTTATGTTCTTATGTTCTTTTAACAGAAAAGTTTTTTTCCATTAAAAGCATTTGCAGAAAAGAGAGTCTAGATTGGCACGGACACTTTTCCGCAAAAGCACTTTTTGCGGAAAAGCGTCCGTGCCAATCTAGACGTGGTTTTGCGCAAGAAAGCCCCGATCGCCATTTTCGCGATCGGGGCTTTTTTGCGCAAAACAATACCACATTGTCTACACTCGCCCTCTTGCGCAAAAGGGCTTTTGCCCGAACGGGAGCAGCATAGTATTTCCATAAGAACACTGACAATCTTACATGAGATCGTCAGTGTTCTTGCGGAAATTCAAGCAGCCAGTGTAGACAGCTGGCAAGTTTTTCCGCAAAAGCAGCTGCTTTTGTGGAAAAACTTGCCAGTCTAGACGCAGCCAGTGTGAATACCTCCTTTCAGCTAGCTATAGGCTTGCATTGCATGGCAAATAACCAGTAAAGATGCTATTTCAGATTTCAGGTTCTGATCTATGATTTCTGAAATATTACATATAACAGACTTTCTTGGAGGTGTTTCCCATTTAATTTCATTTAAAGTTGTTTGTAAAGATCTAAATGACTTCTGTGTAATGTGGTTCTTTACACACACACTTTCCTTATGCCTTTGCTTTCAGCAGTCCAGAGTTCAGCATGGGTGTGTAGTTAGAGTCCTTAACATTAAATGGATAAGTTTTAACGGCCCATCATGTCATGAAATACATGCAAATACTAGCAAATGACACATACTATGACATATACTTGAGTAGTCTTCTGAGGCAGCTCTAAATAGAATGTGTTGTAGAAGTGCAGGATCGAACTCTGGCATTCTAAAATGGCTTGAAAATGTTTTTAAAAACATTGTCAATCCTTACTATGAACAAAAGTGCTAGTTTTATTCTGCTTGGAATAAAAGTTTCAAGGCAGCTTTAAGTCCGCTGTTCTGATATCCAGGATATAGTGTCAGCAGGCTGGGTTTCATCCGGGATTATTTAGAAAGGAAATTCAGTTTGGGTTGGGCTATGATGGACCATAATTTTCTGGGGATTTGTTTTGAGGATAGAATAAAGCTTGCTGACTGCTAATCTGTGGAAATAGTCGTGAGCTGCAGAGAAACAGTTACTCTATTCTTGCTTTATTTTGATGAGTGAAGGGTTTGTCTCACCCCATTTCAATACTTTCTATTATTGTTGAAGATCAGTTTGTCCAAAGTCTGACAATCAAAATAGGGCAATATCTCTTGTACACAGAGCAATTAACTTTCCAGTGTTGTGAATAAAATGGCATAGCCAACAGAATCTGAAGAACCAGATAGTTTTAGAAGTATTAGTGAGAAGGGTAGTGTGGAGTACTTCGTGCCTTTTTAACCCAAAAAGCAAATGTATTTTGTATTGTACATGAAAAGCCAGTCAACAAAGCATGCTGAATACAAAGTTTATGGACACCAGTAAATACGACAAGACTGATACCATATCTAGTGCATTTTTGGCTAATCAGTTAGATTTTCTTTGTGTTCTCTGTTAGGTATGTGAAAGTATAACCCCGTGTTCACAGTTAACTGATGCGCCTGGGCTCATTGATTAACTCATGGTTACACACAGGCTCCTGGTACGCGCGGGGAACCAGCTTAAAAGACAGCTCTTGGGGAGCTGTTTGCCGCCCTGCGTTGCTGCCTTTCTTACATCAGTGCGGAGTGGCAGGCGGGAGCTAGTACATGCAGAGAGGTAGCTTAAAAGTTTTACAGAGGCAACAGTGTATAATTACACACATTTAGCATCCCTATTTTAAATTAAACCTATCCCAGTGCCACCCTGCAGCCCTTCCCATGCACCAGCCCTCTGCCAGCCCCACACTAACCACACTATAAAACGGACTTTCTGTGTAGGTCAGAAATGTTAGTTTATTGAGCTTTCTGGCTGGTGAAGTGCCGGATGCAAAGGCTATTATTGTATAATGCCTGTAAATTGTAGCTTTGATTTCTTGCACGTTAAGTGTAATTGGTCACAAAGCTTACCAGACTTTGGCATATTTAACTGGCTGCGTTGGAGCTTTCTGTAAAACCAGGGAGTATGATCTAATGTTGATACATCTGAATTTGACTAATAAGTGATTTAAACAATACAACTGAGTGACTAAGGATACATCTACCAGGGTATAAAAGACCCATGTCTGGCCTAGGTCAGCTAACTCAGGCTTGGGCTGGGTATCAGAACTTGGCTTATACCCAAGCCTGAATGTTTCTACGCTAATTTTTCAGCCCCACAGCCTGAGTCCTGCAAGCCCAAATCTGCTGACCTAGGCCAGCCGTGTTTTTTTTCTTGTGTAGACCTACCCTAAGAGCAGCCTAGGGCAGGACAATATATGCTTATTTCCTAGGTCATATGTTGGTGCCAAAATGAACTCTGGGTAAGAGAGATGTTGGCCCACCTGGAACTTCCCTTGCTTGCCTCTGCTCGTGTGCTTTTAAATGATGTATACTTGTGCATTAGTTATCATAATTGGAGAGTGCAGTAGTAACCTAAGGTCCTGTTAGGATTGGGGCCCCATTGTGCTGGGTGCTGGGTGCCCACAAAGGAAGAAATGGTCCCAATGTTATATAATTCTGGGGTCATGCATTTTTCCAATGTTACCACTTCTACAGCGGAAATTATCAAGATGTTAGGTTGGGATTCAAATTGCTCAGCTGCTGTTGCAGGATCTCTCTTGCTGATGGGCATTAACCACATTTAATCTCTTGTGAGGTGATTGATTCCTATTTGCTCCCAGAGCCTTGGTAAAGGAAAAACGTTTTTTGTTTTTTTTTTTTTTCTCCTCAGCTACTTTGGTTCCAGGTTCTTACTGGCTTCTGGTTTGGTTGTCACATGCAAGACACAAGGACTCTACACACTAATGTAGTTACTGCAGCTTAATTACCTCAAGAAGAAACTATAAACTTTCAAATGAAGAGATTTAACAAATCTGAAGCAAAACTATTTAGCTCTACCACAGCGTAAAACTCTCTCTTACACATGAAGGAAGGTGATTTTTCATTCCAGACTTAAGAACACTGAATGAAGTAATTTAATCAGGTTAGGCCCATTAAAACTCCTCTTCATTTGCAACAATCTGCAGTTTGCTCTTTTTTCCTCCTTCTGAAACTGCTTTGAAATACTATGAAAATGAATACTCCAGCTACAATTTCAGTATCCAGAGTTGTTTATCCCTTCCTTGATTGTTTTTCCCCCATCTCTTTTCTTTTGTGCTCCATCTCAAAACAGCCTGATGTTTTTAGAAGACTTTACTCCACCCTGCTGTTTTACCCTTCAGTTTCCTTTCCATTTCTCACATGAGTTTTTCATTAGAGGTTTCTGAAGTATGAGATCCAGGCAGCCCACTGTGTGGTTTTTTTTTCCTTAGCAAAAGGATAGGATCTAATGGAGGAAGTGCAATGTATTAAAATAAATAAGTATCACAGATATTCGAAACATTTATCCTCTATGGAATTGTTCCTTCATCACACCTTCAAAATTCATTGTAGTAATAAGAGAACAACGGCAAAATGTTGCTAAACTTATCTTTTTTGCTCTCTCATATTTTGGTTTCTGACTTAAAAGGTACCAATTTAAATATCCATGGGGGGAAAAAGACCCTTAAGAATTTAACACACACACAAATTATCCAAATACTAAAAATATTCACCTAGAAACTTTTAACCCTATGAACTTTAGAGTTTAAAACCTTGCTCCTTTGGGGCATTTGAAAGGTGACGGTTGATCTTATTTGTTGTAGATACTGATTTAATCATAAAGACATGCTCAGATACTATGATGTTGGACACCAGTATGAGTCTAGATATAGAGAAAATATCTCAGTTGCAAGAGGCATGAGGGCTAAAGAAACTGTCAAGCAGTCAGCTATTAGCAATGTATAAATAAAGCATGTTGATCTCCCCTAATTGCTACTCCTTGGCCTAGGTTTGGAAAATAAATGCTTTTTTAAACAAAAGCCATTGATACAGAAAAGTTCCATGTGTGACATTTGTTTCCAGGTTTATTGTAAACTGCAAACTACTTCCAGGGGAAGTGTGGTACGTTCTGACACATGGATTCTGCTTCACAGCCTCTCTAAAAAGGTGAAAGCTGACCGAGGCCATGAAAATATGAAGGAAGCCAATCTGGATTGCTATACTATGGTCTTAGCCTCTTTCAGAGTTGTTTTGATGGTGTTGAAATGAAGACATATGGTAAAGTCGTCCTTTTATTTGTGTTGGATTCACATTTGTTTGTGTTTTATTTTAACTTCCTTTTAGCTTTTAGCGGGTGGTCACACCAGAGGAATGAATCTGCCAGACCCCTGCAACAGTGTACAGAAGCTGCATTTGGAAGTTGAGTGTTAGGTACACGTTGGTAGAGTGAACACTGGCTGAGAATGGGAGCCTTCTACAGAGAAAGTCAGTTGCAGAGCTAGAAATGTTAGGTGAGGTGTCAGTTTCTCCTGTTTAAATGGTGATGCATGCTTCCTAGGACGTGTGAGGGTTAATTAATGTTTATAAAACCCTTTGAAGATGGAATGTGT